GTTCAATACTTTTTCCCTGTGCCATTCCACATTATTACAAATAACTTCATTTCTGAACATTTATGGTTTGATTACTTTGTATGTATGGATCACTTGGGTTGTTACTGACAACTGGTGAAAATTTCATGTCATTAGCACCTCTAGTGATATATTTGCTGAGAAAAATGTTGACGTGATCACTACTTATTTTACCCGCTGTAAGTTTAGTTCCTTTTTGTAGCCTGTTTGTTTACGTTTCACTGCTTACTGCATGTAATCTTGAGTCCGTCACATTTTGTCCAGCTGTTTTTTTGTGTTTGGTGGAGTACCTCCCAGCATTTCAAACATTACCACTCTATTACCACTCTAGCAGCCTTACTTAGCAAGTTTTCTGGGGGAAACCTTGTTATTTAGTTCTTGCTTTTTGCCATTTGGGTGTGTTTGTGTTCCCAAGCCAAGATCCCCCTGCCATGTTAGGCCTACAATGTCCTTGTGTCTGAGATAAACCTTTGCTTCTGCTAAATTATAGGTCTTGATTCCTCTGGTCACAAGGGTAGGTGTACCATGTTTTACAAGGAGATACTTACAGTAGATACTTTTAATGTCATGTCCAGTCCCACTTTGGTACACAAATACTCCTCCACTATGTCTGATAGAGGCAGATAGATGGCTTTATTCTGATATAATTTTCAGTTGCTGAAACATCTTATAGCCAAGCTTTTCCTCACTTGGGCATTCACTAGCATCTCATTTTTGTGTGGATTAATGTGATTTCATACATAGTACCCATGCAGTATAGTATGTATAGTGTCAGTATAGTAGTATGTATAGCAACACTATAGTATCATATACAAATGCAAAATCAAGTTAGAAACACCAAAGTTTCAAATTTTGACTCTACATTGGTCATGACTGTTTAAATTGATCTACCTGCTCAGAATCTATGAAGTTCAGCAAAACAGGAACAGTTTTTTGTGGTTTGGGGTCATACAAATTGTCAAAGAAATATCCTGAAGTTCCAATTGTAAGCTCACTTTGTGTTTTATTTCATGCACATGATCAAAAAACTGTTAGAAGTACTAAGAATGCTGGCATCTTTTTTAGGGCTTTCTTCTACAGAGTTTCAACAAAAACACAAGTCTAGCCTGAAGAGGAGGTTTGAGTCCGTGTTCGAGGGGATCGCTAAAGCTGGAAACCCGACTCTCCTGAACCAGATCTTCACAGAACTCTACATCACAGAGGGACGAACTGAAGAGGTCAATGAAGAACATGAGGTCAGACAGATTGAAAAGATATCCTGGAAACAACACAAACCAGAAACAACCATCAGACATCAAGACATCTTTCAACCCCAACCTGGAAGAAATGAACCAATTAGAAAGGTTTTGACAAAGGGAATAGCTGGCATTGGGAAAACTGTCCTAACTCAGAAGTTCACTCTGGACTGGGCTGAAGACAGAACCAACCAGGACATCCACTTGCTGTTCCCATTTACCTTCAGAGAGCTGAATGTGCTGAAAGAGACAAAGTTCAGCTTGGTGGAACTCGTTCATCACTTCTTTTCTGAAATCAAAGGAACATTCAGGTTTGATGAATTCCAGGTTCTGTTCATCTTTGATGGTCTGGACGAGTGTCGACTTCCTCTGGACTTCCACAGGAACCAGGTCCTGACTGATGTCACAGAGTCCACCTCAGTGGATGTTCTGCTGACCAACCTGATCAGGGGGAACCTGCTTCCCTCTGCTCYCCTCTGGATAACCACAAGACCTGCAGCAGCCAATCAGATCCCTGCTGAGTGTGTTGACCTGGTAACAGAAGTCAGAGGGTTCACCGATCCACAGAAGGAGGAGTACTTCAGGAAGAAGTTCACGGATAAGAGGCAGGCAAACAAGATCATCTCTCATATCAAGACCTCACGGAGCCTCCACATCATGTGCCACATCCCAGTCTTCTGCTGGATCAATGCTATGGTTCTGGAGGATCTGATGAAAACAAAAGATGAACCAGAGCTACCCACAACCCTGACTGAGATGTACATCCACTTCCTGATGGTTCAGATCAACATGAAGAAGATCAAATACGAAAGAGCAGTTGAGATGGACGAATACTGGAGTCCAAAGTGCAGAAGGGAGATTGAGTCTTTAGGAAAACTGGCTTTTGAGCAGCTTTTGAAAGGAAACCTGATCTTCTATGAGTCTGACATGACAGCATGTGGTATTGAAATCAGAGATGCCTCAGTTTACTCAGGAGTCTTCACTCAGATCTTTAGAGAGGAGAGAGGACTGTACCAGGACAAGGTGTTCTGCTTCGTCCATCTGAGTGTCCAGGAGTTTCTGGCTGCTCTTTTTGTTCGTCTGACTTTTGACCAAAATGGTGTCAACCTGTTGACAGAACCACCTCAAACATCAGAAAACTCTGTCACAACAAATCCCGATTCTGCAGAGACACAACTCCACCAAACAGCTGTAGACAAGGCCTTACAAAGTTCAAACGGACACCTGGATTTATTCCTGCGCTTCTTCCTGGGTCTTTCTCTTACAGCCAACCAGTCTTTCCTCCATGGCTTGATAACACATACAGGAAATAGTACACAAACCAAGCAGGAAACCATCCAGTACATCAAGAAGAAGATCAGTGAGAATCTGCCTATTGAGAAATCCATCAACCTGTTCCACTGTCTAAATGAGCTCAATGATCGGTCTCTGGAAGATGAGATTCAACATTTCCTGAGATCAGGAGGTCTCTCCACAGATGAACTGTCTCCTGCTCAGTGGTCCGCTCTGGTCTTCATCTTACTGTCATCAGAAAAAGATCTGGACCTGTTTGACCTGAAGAAGTACTCTGCAACAGAGGAGGCTCTCATGAGGCTGCTGCCAGTGGTCAAAGCCTCCAACAAAGCCATGTAGGTAGAGGAACTTTCTGTATATTTTACATTAAACTTAGTTTGTTGTTCATTGTTAATGTCTCTCCAGACTGAGTGGCTGCAACCTATCAGAGAGAAGTTGTGAAGCTCTGTCTTCGGTTCTTAGTTGTCCATCCTCCAGTCTCAGAGAGCTGGATCTGAACAATAACAAGCTGCAGGATTCAGGAGTGAAGCGTCTCTCTGAGGGACTGCAGAGTTCTCACTGTAAACTGAAATCTCTCAGGTTAGAAGACATTAGTGTTTGAAATGGTAAAACCTAGTTCCTAGTTTAAATAGTTTTTTTGTATTTGCTACATCCCATTTTTAGGCTGTCAGGTTGTCAGATCACAGACGAAGGTTGTGCTTCTCTGGCCTCAGCTCTGAGCTGCAACCCGTCTCATCTTAAAGAGCTGGACCTGAGCTACAACCATATAGGAGACCCAGGAATGAAGGTACTTTCTTCCAGAGTTGAGGATCCATACTGCAGACTGGATATTCTCAGGTATGTTTTCATTACAGAATGTCCCGACCTGTAAATTTTAACTGTCCATTTTTATTGAGCCTCTTCACAGTTTCCCATTTTTCCTGTCTCTTTGTTAGTGAAAATGTTTGACTGGATCTTTTCCCACAGCTTATTGACATATTTTTTCCTGATCAATGTTTCCTGACAAAACCAATCATTTTCCAGTGAAAACACTCTCATTTTCTTTACAGTTAAATAACGTATCAAAGCAAGAAATATATTTTTTTCATGGTCTCTCTAATTAACAGTTCTTGCCTTTGCAAAAAAAAATGTGACTCATGACAGCCGAACCCTCAAAAGGTCTTCATCCGTTTGACACCTAAAAGCACCAATGTCCATCTGGTCACATCTGGAGCTCATTTCACAAAAGTCAGATTTCTAAATCCAGGATATCAGCTGTAAGCTGAGCTTGAACAAGACTTCAACTTGTAAACAGCTGTAATCTGTTGCTCTCACACCAAGCCACGCTCAATCAAGGCAGCTATAAATGGTTTAGGAGTAATGCACGTTCACGGTTTGCTTACTAGACCCATCAGGTGGATCACAGATTTCCTGATCTGGCATGCGCAGTAAGACACGTGAGTCTCACTTCTTCCAGCAGTTTAATGGTTAATTATGATTCGTATGAAGAGAAGAAGCTAAACACAGACTGAGTGCTGAAATAATTTCAAAAGAAAATACTTTTTGTCTCACTGAATCTGTTTATAAGTTATCTGAAATTAACTAAATGAACACAATTAAAATGAACAGCTGAAAATGATTGCGGCTGTACATTTGGGGAATGAGGATACAGATCAAAGGGGGTTGTAAGGAAGACGGACTCCCACCGGAGTGTGTGTGTGTGTGTCTGTGTCTGTGTCTGTGTCTGTGTGTGTGTGTGTGTGTGTGTGTGTGTGT